TGTAAAATAGGATTGTTGTGAGAAATAAAGCATGTAGAACAGTGCTTGACTCATAAAAGTGCTCAGTAGATATATGAAGATTGCTGCTGATCTCATTAGTGGGACTCCCACGTTTACTCCCCACTGTTGATCACCTTCTTTCTGTCTGCCACTGTTTGCATTTCCCCAGATGTATTCTCCTCTCTTCTACCTTCTGTTACCTGCTCAAGTTCTTCCTCTTGGCCCCACCTTTCCATCTCCCATTCTGCCCCTTGGTAGGCCCTTCTTGCCGTTCTCTTTGGCTTCCATTGTCTTGCTGCACACTGCCTTCAGTCTTAACTGGCCTCAGAAATTGCCTTAAACAGAGACAGAAATTTGCCCAGGGTACCAGGCTCAGCCCCCGGTGACTGGCAGGGGCTAGTCCAGAATGCACTCTGCAATATCTATTTTGTCTACCAGTGGCTTGTTTTTGCTCAAGACCCTGGGCTTGCCTGTGACACCAAGGGACTCAGTTGCTAGGATTGAATGCAAATCTTGTGACAAAGCTCTGCTCTAATTGGCTTTGACTTCTCTGGTATTGCAGACATAGTATTTTTTCAGAAATTGTCCTCTTACCTGCCCCTCACTGCTAATAATGTTTTGTTGCTTGGTATTCCAGTCATTGAATTTCTCCCTGTAGATATTTTAGCTTGCTTCTCCCAGATGCCCCACTGACTGCCTCAAACGCACCATATATCTCCCACCCGAGATGCCTGCTCTTACAGATCATCCCAAGGCGCTGATCATAACAGTATATGTGACCTCTCCTGTGTGACTAATGCCACTTTCATGTTTGTAACACAGCCTTCAACTGTGATGATGTCAAGATAAATCATTGCTCAACACTTGTAAACTGGCCGAAGCCAGGAACTTTAGTGTGACCTCTTTGTCTTAAGGATGGGTACAACAAAGTGCAGAAGGTCAGGTGACTTTCTCAAGGTCACACAGTCAGGAATTACCTAACTGGGACCAAAATCTAGATTTTCTGTTTTTCACTTTTGGATTTTTTTTTTCAAACTCACCCAAAGCTATTTTTTAATGAAAAATTATAATTTAAAAAATTGGAGTAAACTGTACATATCAATATTTACTTGCTTAACCTTTTTTTTTTTTTAGATGGGACTGGGGTTTGAACTCTTGCTTGCAAAGCAGGCGCTTTACCACCTAAGCCACACCCCCAGTCCTGCTTACCCATTTTTAAAAGTGAAGTTCATCTTGTGCAGCCGTCACTACCTTCCATCTGGAGAATTTGTTTTCATCTTGCAAAACTGAAACTCGGTCCCCATTAAACCCTCCTCCCCATTGTCCCCAACCTCAGCCCTGGAAAACGCCATTTTACTTTCTGTGTAGGAATCTGGCTCCTCTAGGGACCTCGTACTTGTGGAATCATGCAGGATGTCTTTTCCAGACTGGCTTGTTTCTTTTGCAGCGTGTCCTCAAACATCCAGTTTGTTAGAATTTCCTTCCTTCTTAAGGCTGAGTAATCTTCCATTTTAGTGGTGGTTCTTGAAGACCATCTTAACATCTGCTAGGCAGTGTTGGGATTTTGAACCAGTGACTTTCTCAGACTCTTTCCCTGAATATCCACTAGGGGGCAGTAAAAGATGCTGAATTTTTTCAGTAGGCCTTGTGAGTGCCAAGCAATCCAGCCATGACCTCCTCTGAGTATCTCTTTCTTGGGTCCATGTATACAGTTACAAGATAATGGCTTTCACATCCAACAGCAGCTTTGCACGAAGTAGCGATACCATCAGATGTAGTCTGCGTGCTGCAACATACAGAACTTTATCCCAGATGTTGGTTTCAAATTATATTTTGGTTTAACTCACATTAGTCCAGTGGCCCTCGGACAGAGTATACATCAGGATCATCTGGAGTGCATTTTCCAAAATGCACATGCCCTAGTCTCAGCCAAGATCTGTTAAGACAGAATGTCGGGCTGGGGCCCAGACAGAGAGACTGTATTTTGATTCTGATCCACGACTTCTCATTAAGAGCCAGTGTATTTCTTCTTCTTCTTCTTCTTTTTTTTTTTTTTTTTTTGTTTGGCAGTACTGGGCTTTGAACTCAGGGCCTCATGCTTGCTAGGCAGATGATGTACCACTTGAATCATGCCCACAACCCTTTTTTGCTTTAGTTGTTTTTCAGGTAGGGTCTCATGTTTTTGCCCAGACTGACCTCAAACCTCCATCCTCCTACCTACAGCTTCCCTCATAGCTGGTGTTATAGGAATGAGCCGCCACATCTGGCAGTATATTTGTTCTTAACATTAGCAACTAGCAGGAAGGGTATCCCCAGAGTAAAACCTCAGAGACACTAGGTATGAATTCTGCAAAAATGTTTTCTCCTTGCTAAAGGAGTGGCTGAAGGCTCTGGTGGCTATGGGAGCCTCATTCCAAGCAATAATGAGGCTGTCTAAGAGATCCTACCTGTATTTTAACACACCAGTAACCCAGACAGAAGATTTCAAACGAGCAGTCCTGGCCAGCTTGGGATCCATGGATACAGTTCCAAGACCGCCATGCTCAGGGCATAGACTCTTTAGTGTGAGGCTAGAGCTCAGAAACCAAAGCCATCTGAGCTATGAAGAAAATCTTTCATACAGTAATCAAAAAAATGGGCCTTAATTTTATCTTATCAAAGGTAAAAGTGGCACAACGAGCCTGAGGTGGGACCAAGAGACCTGGTTCTCATCCTAATCATCATGCTAGCCAGTTATGGGCCCCAAGGCAAGTCTAGTCACCTCTCTAAGCCTCAGCTTCCCCTTTGAATTATGAGAGGATGTGTTGATGTTGATCTCTGAGGATTCTTTCAGTTCTAAAAATTCAATGATTCTATTAGTATTAATAATCTTGATTTGTAGTTACTACCCTGGCAAAGAGCAGAAGAAATATTCGGTAATGCAATGAATGACAGACTATTGACCACGTAGTTTAATTTATTTAAGACACAAACACTGGATTCAAAGGAGAAAATACTGCTCCTGATAATATATTGAACTGTTGGTATCTTCAGCCTAGTGAAAGCTTTCCAGAGGGAAAAATTACCCATCAGTGCAAACTTGACATTTTTCACTTCCTGATCCATAACTGCCATTTGTCCAGCACACTCATATTTACTGTAAAGGGCCACGTGTATGAATGCTTTGGATGAATATTAAATAACTACATAAACGTCAAGGTCACAGTTACAAGAACAACAGCTCTGGGGAAGGCCCTGGGAGGCTCACATTGATCTCTTGCAAAGTTCCATTCCTGAATCCTGCTGACAAGGGGAAACAATTGAAGTGGATCATTATTAAGGCTTTAAGTGTTTCTCCATTGTTAAAGATCTTTTACAAGCCTGGAATAACTGATAGAGCCTCAGGAATTGGCAAAAGCTTCACTTAGAAATATAGGCCAGTCAAAGAGAGAAGTAAAGCCCAGAATGCAGATGGCCTGGGTCAGGCTTACCCAGCAAAGGTGCAGGTGGAGAGCAATCCAGTGCTGGGGCATGCCACCAACTCGGCCTGTGGGCACTGCTCTCAGTTATGGCTCAGAATGGAGCTTCCATGCCCGACACTGCAGACAGCACGGCTTCTTCTTTGTTTCCACCTCCACATTTCCTCTTGCTCCTCTCCCATAGTGAAAACCTCCTCTCCTGCCATTTCAGACCTCACAAGCGTCCAGATGTCAGTCCATCTTCTGCTGCTATAACTGAATCCTTGGTCTGGGTAGATTACAAAGAAATGCATTTCTAACAGTTCCAGAGACTGGGAAGTCCAATATCTAGATGCTGGCATCTGGTAGGGCCTTCTTCCTGAATTATAACAAGGTGGGGCACCACATGGCAAGATAGAGCAAATGTGCTAGCTGGGATTTTTCTTTCTCTCCTTATGAAGCCACTAATGATGTCATGGGGTTCCAGCATGATCCTAATGACCTCCTAAAGTCTCTGCCTCCAAATGCCATTAACATATGAATTTGGGGATTAAGTTTCCGACTACTGGGGAACAACTCAAACCACAGCAGTGAAGGAATCAAGCTTCTGGGAATTATGCACAAGTACCAGTCTAGATCTAGACCGGGCAAGTGCCTGGGTAATTAATTATGGCAGTGTCCTGCTGTCCTGGATTTGGGAGGGGAACAAGTACTGTGGATGGCAGAACCTAGTTTCCAAAAGATCTGAACAGACTGAAGGATGGGCCACATCTACCAGATGAACTTTAGTCATGTCAATCACCACACATGCACTTCCTGTATTCTAGCTCTATTTGGTGTTATGATTGGCCTTTGCACATGTCAGTTTATCTCATCTTTACAGTGACCCAATAAGGGCAGGAAGCAATATGAAGAAAGAATCAAGGGCTTTAAAGCCATCAATCTAGATTTCGATCCCAATTCTGCCCCTAGTTAGCTGGCAAGTTACTTCATCTTTTCAAAATAGCAGTAACTAGGCTTTTGGTTGTCTTTTGCATGTCCCGTGTACAACCATTATTTTGTCATTTAATCCTCAGAACAATCTTACATCTTAACAGATGAGGAAGGCACAGATAACTTAAGTAATTTACCCAACGTTGCACAGTAAGTGACAGGGCCAGGGTTTGAACCCAGACAGTCTGACTCCAACACCCACACTCTTAACAGCTGCCTCTTCTCTGTTTCCAACATTGTGAAAAGGGTCAACGATGTGTTCTGGGAGGGTTGGATGAGATAACTTATGTAAAGTGCCTAATACAGAACCTGACACATGGTAAGCACCCACAAATGGGACCATCTTTATTACCAGTTACATGACCTGTTCAAAAACATAATTGCTGGAAAAACCAAGATTTGAACCCATGTCTGTGAATGCCATTGTGGTGCACTCACCATCTCCCTTTGGGGCACGTGACTGAGGACCATTCTTACATCACCACCTTAGTTCCTTGAACAGTGCTGCCATACTGGGGATCCAGAGAGAAAAAGAGCATGATGCTAACCGTTCTGTCCCTCGCTTCCCAGGTTCGCATGGTGAAGGATGGTGACCCCTCCTGGAAGCCCACTTTTATTGTGAAACCTGATGGTGGTTGTCAGGGTGATGGAATCTACCTCGTTAACGACCCCAGTGACATCCGTCTGGCTGGGATCCTCCAGAGCAGGCCAGTGGTGGTCCAGGAGTACATCTGCAAACCTCTCCTTATCGACAAGCTCAAGTTCGATATTCGTTTGTATGTCTTGCTAAAGTCCTTAGACCCCTTAGAGATTTATATCGCCAAAGATGGACTCTCTAGATTTTGTACAGAGCCATATCAGGAACCCAACCCCCAAAACCTGCACCATGTCTTTATGCACTTAACCAACTACTCACTGAATATCCACAGTGGCAATTTCGTCCACTCAGACAGTACCAGCACAGGCAGCAAAAGGACTTTTTCTAGCATTCTTTGTAGACTGTCTTCCAAAGGCGTGGACATCAAGAAGGTCTGGTCTGACATCATCTCCTTGGTGATTAAGACTGTCATTGCCCTGACGCCAGAGCTCAAAGTTTTCTACCAGTCGGACATCCCCACAGGGAGGCCGGGGCCCACCTGCTTCCAGGTAATCACTTCCCGTTCCCATCTGGAGTCCCCAGCCTTGACCAGGCTTAGAGGGGGCTCTCTGGTCTATGGGATAACGGGCAGGGTGGGATGGCCAGAGGAAGGGACAGGGATGGTGACTGGTGTGGGTTTCGGTGTTAAACCTTGGCCTTATCAGCTTTCTATTAGCTATATGTGATTCAGGGCAAGTTACTTCACTTCCATTAACTGTAAAATGAAACTAATAGCGTCTACCTTAAAGCATTCTTATGAGAATTCAAGGAGCCAACATATGCAAATCAAAGTGTCATTCATTCATTCAATAATTTTTATCACCTGCTTAGTAAGAGTCAAGCATTGTTCTAGGTCCTTGTGAGACAATAGGCTAGGTCCCTGATGACCTGTGCATAGAGACCATAGTGGGAGACAAATCCTTTAAAAAAGATTATTATAGGACTTTACAAGTGCTAGAATCAAACGGATGTGCTGGGTGCTGTGAGATTGTGGAACCAGCTAACATTCTCTGGATGGGAGTAGAGTGGAGAGGGGAAGATTCCAGGAGGAAATGACAGTTACTCCAAAATCCTAGGTGTGAGATGAAGCAGGTGAGACTGGTTAGGACCAGTGGCGCCAGAGTGGGGACATGGTTTTGCCCTGGAAGTAAGACAGAAGCCTGGTGTGCTTAAGGCACTGAAAGCAGTTCTGTGAGGTTGGAAGGTGGGATTTGAGGCAGACATGTGGAGGGAAGACAAGGGAGGGCTGAGTCATGGAGAGCTTTAGGGTGGTGGGGGCCACCAGAGCTTTTTTTTTTTTTCTATTTTTTTTTTTTTTTTTTTGGCAGCACTGGGGTTTGAACTCAAGGCCTCATGCTTGCTAAGTAGGCACTCTTTTTATTTATTTATTTATTTTATTTTTATTTTTTTCTTTTTTCTTTTTTTTGAAGTGTAACTTTATTTTTTTTTCCTTTTTCTTTTATTATTCATATGTGCATACAATGCTTGGGTCATTTCTCCCCCCTGCCCCCACCCCCTCCCTTACCACCCACTCCACCCCCTCCCTCTCCCCCCCCCAATACCCAGCAGAAACTATTTTGCCCTTATTTCTAATTTTGTTGAAGAGAGAGTATAAGCAATAATAGGAAGGAACAAGGGTTTTTGCTCCACCAGAGCATTTTAAGCAGGGAACAGATGTACTCAGATTTACATGTTCCAAAGAATTCAGTACACGCAGGATAGAGAATGGACTAAGCCAAGGCTGGTCTCAGGCAGATCTCTAGTGAGACTGCTGTGTTCATAGGAGTAAGAGAGGATGCTTGCTTTGAATAGGAGGCCTTGGTGGAGATGGACAGAATAGGTAGAATTGAGTGCCATTTAAGGAGGTTGAATGGCTAGACTTGGTGACTGGAGGGGACTAGGGAGAAGGAAATGGTAGCAGTGAAGGCAAGGAGGAATTGAGGCTTGGGCACTTGGACAGATAAAAGCCACTAGAAGAGGACCAGGCTAGTGGAGGAAGGTCAGGAATTGGACATGAAGTGCCTATGCTGTGCTGAAGTGGGGAGGCTGAGTAGATAAGTGGGTATTTGGGCTAGAGGTCAGAGGAGAGAGGTCTGGGCTGGAGAAAGAGATGGGAACTTGTCCACATTCAGTCAGTGACTGAAGACATGAGAAGCTGTGGGGGGAAAAGAGGCTGGAGACACCCCGTGGACACCTCCACTTAATTAAAGGTCAGAGGCAGGGGAGCCGGCAAAGGAGGCCAAGAAAGAGTGCTCGAGGTATATAAGGGGGATCAGGAGAGGCAGTGCCCAGAAGTCAAGGAAGAGATTCTCAGAGAAGACGCAGGTCAGGGCCAGCGGGTGGCATCAAAGGCTGCTGATATCTGTCCATCGTATTCACTAACGAGTGTGCAGAGGACTCCATAAGGACTGACCCAGCAAGATGCCAGTGTGTGGGAGGGAAGAAATGGAGAACGGGGAACGAATATCTTCCAGGTCACTGAGCTGTCAGAGTGGCAGGGCAGGGGACATGGAGGCCAGGCACTCAGAAGGCACACACTTTCCTGCTATCTGACAAATCAGAAGGGGCATTCCTGAGGGACCCTCCCCATCTAATCTTTAAAATTGTTTTGTGGCAGCTGAGCCATGAAGCAGAACAAAATGACCATCCCTGACCACCTCCTGCCCCAAGTCTCCAGTTAGTGTGCTCCTCCCCGTCCTTCCCCACTCCCTGAATTTTATGTTTAGCATTTCCTTGCTTTTCAAAAATACTTTTATTATGCATGAATGTACCCCTAAACAATATACTTGTCTTGTTCGGCTTGTTTTGGGCTATATAAAGACACTGTTATGAAGTATGTCATCATTGCAAAATTATTTCCCACCACATGCAGTGTTTCAAAGGCCCACCCATGTTGCTAGGCCTTTGGTACTGCTTTATTTGCACTTTTGTGTATTCCATTGTAAATTTGCACAGTTTATCAGTTCTTCTGTCAAAGAACATCTGGGTATTTCTAGTCAATGGCAAGAGGATAATGGGCAGCACAGAAGAAGTCAGGAAAGGGGGATGAGGCAATGTCTCCATGGAGAGGGCATCTGTTCACCAGCAGAGCAGGAGGCTGTTCCCAAATGCAGCCCCACACCCAGAGAGGCCACTCAAGCTGCATGTCCGTCACCAGTATCCCCAGGCAGGCTGGCAAAGCCTTTGGAAGAGAATTCAGGCAGTGGTCAGGAACAGGAGGGGAGAGAATTGTCCATCCAGAGATCTGTCCTTGGGAACTTGACCCCAGGCCTTTGGTTCCCAGGCGGTATTATGTCATCTCAGGAGGTAGTTTAAGACACTAGAAAAGGCTAGTGAGCAGGACTTCAAGGTAGGACCAGAGAAAAGAAGTCCTGACCTATGCCACCAAAAAGTGAGGGCAGAGGAGACAGTTGCAACGTGGCCATGTCAGGAGTCATCCCAGGGGACTGTGTGGTTGCATCTGTTCCACAGTGACAGCTATTCTAAGAGAATCATGTGGGCTCCAGCAAGCATGGCCAAGCCACACAAACCTGGCGTGCTCCAAGCGGCAGGGGGTAGGGCCAGCATGGTTGTTTTGCTGCCTGTCCTACTGTGGACAGGCGGCAATGGGTAGTCATTGGGGTGGAACCAGGGCCCAAGCTGAGGGCAACTGGAGGGTAGACAGAGAGGGAGCCACCGGTTTGGACAGAACGTGACCAGCAAATGGAACCACAGTCTTGTGACCATGTCCCACTGCTTGACCATACTAAATGCTTCCAGGCCCAGGATGAGAAGAGGAACATGGAGCTGAGGAAAAGCTCCTTCCGGTTGTGTGACCTTGGGAGGTTTCTTCACCACCTTGCACCTCTGTTCTTCTCTCACCTATACTCACTTTCCTGTCTTTTTAAGGAATGTTGTGAAGTGATGCTTTGACAAGGTATAAAGTTTTAGATGGCTGGAATTTGTTTTACCATGCATTTCAGACACACAGTGATTGAGAAGGAATACTGTCTTGTTATTCTTGGAGTTCCTTCTTGCTTGCTTTGTTTTTATCACTTGTTAGAAGGGTTTCAAGATACCTGAGCTGACTTGGAACACAAAGGTTTAGGGACATGGTTCAGTTTTGCCATCAATTTGCTGTGTAATCTTTCTTAAATCGTTTAACTTCTCTGCACCTCAGTCTCTTCACCCACCTCACAGGGTTGGTGTCCAACTCAAGAAGATAAGGATTATGAAGGGCTTTGCAGGCTGTAGTGCTCTGCACAGATACAATCAATCATTTCTTTGTCATGCAGCCCCTCTCACTTGTATCCTGGGCCTGACCCAGACCACAGCATTCCAGAACATAAAACTCTAGCCAGCAAAATTACATTTATGTGAAACACGTCCTTTCTAGTCATAGCCACAATAACTACTTGGGAAATTGTGATGGCCCAAGCAGTGGCTGGCACTGCTCAGTGGTGGGCAGGTTTCCTGTAATCTGCTGCCTAGGAACATGGCCACCCTGTCATTCCAGCCCATCCCTTGTCATTGCCTGGGCAGCCCCAACCAGCATGTCCTCACATCTGTCTTCTTGAGGCAGTGGTGTGACCCTGGCTTAAACAGCAGAGTCTCTCAGAGTGCAGATGATTCATGTAGCAGAAATACACATGTGGATGGAGGAAAGGTTTCCAGCTCAGCTTTCAAGAACCTTCTTTCCCGCTCCATGGCCTAGATTATATCTTCTTCTTGCCCCGTGTCTAATTCTGTCCTTGGCCCATGACCCATTCCCTTGGATCTCTATTGGAGACATATTTCCTAAATTGGTCCTCCTCTTTCTTCTCTGTTCTCTGACCTCCTCTTCACCCTGCAGTCCAGGCACCCCACAGGGAGGAGCCCAAGAGGCAGCGTAGCAGTCAAGGTCTTGGGTTTTGTCTCAAGACACTCTGGGTTCAAGCTAATCCCAGCTCACCCTTCCAGCAACTCTAGCTGGTTATCTTAGCAAGTTAACCTTTCCTAGCCTCAGTTTCCTTATCTGTAAATAGAGAACATATTTGTAGCTACCTTCTAGAGCTGTTGTATGCCCAAATAAGAGAGAGCTATGTGGAATAACACAGTACCTAACACATAGAAATCACTGAATAAATCACTGTCCTTCCTCTGCATGTATCACCTCCCAACCTGGCCCTAGTCCAGCTTCCCTGTACTCTATCTGAGCCTTCAGTCTACAGAACAGATCTGACATATGTTTCTTGGACATAATTGGTACTTTCCCTTATTCTCTTCTGTCTTGGCCAACCTGGCATGCTCTCTCCTGTTCTCACTGTTCCTGACATTCAGTGTCTTCCATGGTACTCAAGTCCCATCTCTATAACACCTTCCTTGGCCACTGATATTTAAGCTTTTTCCTTCAGTTGGACTCTATCACATTCCCTTGGCTACCCACTGAGATGTGACCTGAGGTAGATATGGAGCATGTGGCTATGGAAAAGGTCAGGTCCTGGCCCCTAAGGGGTACTGGGTTCAGGGGGGTAAGACTGACAGATGAGAA